GTATTCAATAACCGTTGGCTCAAAAAAATAGAGTCATTACTCTTTGCCTATCAGCACAATAATAATTCCTTATAACTCTTAATCATTATATCATAATATCAACATAGGATAACACCCAATAATAATATTTTAAGAAAAGTATATCAGCCCACCATTATATTCAAGTCAAACAATCTCTAACTAATGGATTAACTAGTATTTACTTTTACACATACATATTATTATCACAATACTATAATAGTAATAATGACCAAGATGACCTTTTTGCTCAAACCCTTGGGTCAAAGGTCAGACCTGATCAAACTGACCAAGCCAGGCCCCAAGACCACCTCCTTTGTGTTCAGTGGGTCAAACCAAGTTTGTTGAGCCTTGGCCCAAGCCCTAGGTTAACTTGGGTTGACCCAAATTGACCCAACTCACTTTCTTTTGATTTCAAATCAATTTCCCCTTCATCTCAAGCCCAATTCTCATCTCCCTTGGGTTCCATAGCTAGACCCAGTCCATTGGGCCCTAACCCATGCTCTGGGTCAACCTGGTTGATTAGGTCAACCTAGGTTGACCCATTAAGCCTTATTGGGTCAATCCAAGCTTAATTCAAATTCCAAAGTCAATATAAACCTTTTAGGCTCAATCACATACCTCCATTGGACTCAGTGGGTCAGACTTGACCCATTGGGCCAAAAGCCTTGCCATGGGTCAACCTAAGTTGACCCATTTAACCCTTTTGAGCCTAATTCAAATCCAAACCTATTCAAGACCATACTAGGCTCAAGTCCTTAACCCCCTTAGGTCAAATTGACCATGTTGACTGGGTCAACCTTTAATTTGGTCAACCCAAGTCTAACATGGTCAAATTTAGCCTATTTAGGTCAAAGTCTCTTTCATTAATGCATTCAATCATTGCCTAATCACCACTTGAGCCAAATCCTGTGCTAATCAAGCCTAGTTATTTCCCTCCTAATTAACCGCTAGAGTATGGATCTAGGTCATCCATTGAATGCTTAGGCCTATAAATACTCTCTTTATGGTTCGAAGTGTGTGTGGTGTGTGTGGGGGGGGGTAGGGGGGGGGGGGGTGGACCTTTGGTTCTTTTTGCCTTCCAAGCATTTTAAGCTCGAGATCTGCTCATGCTTAAGCTCCATCATATCTCCCACCTTCCAAGTCAAAACCTGATCAATACACACGCCACCGGTGGTGAGATCTCTGGCGAACGTGAGGGATTGACGTTCCAACAGGCCTCCCTAGCCTCAATCCAAAGTTGAACTCGAGCTCTGATTCTCCTAGATTAAGGGCAAATTTTCGCTAGGAAGCTTTTGTAGCTTTGATTCGTCGGAGGATCGCCATCGACGAGCTTTGACCGAGGGCATTTTGACTTGGGAGAAGTAAAGAGAGGTTGTGGGAGCTCTCAACACTAAAATCTCAGGTTAAGGAGACTTGGAGAAAAGAGCAAAAGCAAAGTCCCCTCCTTGGACCGCCCTATAAGAAAGTATTTATGGCCTAAGGATTTAATGGACGGCCAGATCAATCTCTAGGGTTAATTAGGAGGGAGGGGAAGAGAATTAGCATGGGAAATTTGGCTCTAGGAATTATTAGGAAATGATTGGATAGCATTATTAAGGGAGATTTTTGACTTAAATAGGTCAAATTTGACCATGTTTAAAGCTTGGGTTGACTAAGTCAAAGGTTGACTTAGTTCAATATAGTCAATTGAGGTAAACGGGTTAGGGATTTGAGCTGGATGGGCTAGAATGGATTAGAGCTTGATTTGGGCTTAAATAAGGTAATTGGCCTAATTGGGCTTGGGTTGAACCAAAGTCAAGCTTGACTTGGTCCAAGCCTAGTCAATTTGGTCAAGGAGGATGGGGGTTTGAGTCCAACGAAGAGTTTGCATTTTGAATAGAGGTTTATTGACCCCATTTTAAGTTAATGGGTCAACTGGGTTTGACACCTGGTTTACTAAGTTTGAAGCCCAGCAGGGGTTTGGGCTTCATGTTTTGGATTTGAAACAGAGGTAGAGTAGTCGTGTACCATGAGTCCAGGGGGGATAAGATTTGAGCTTAAGAAGGCATGACTTTGATTTGAAATCAAATAGAGAAGTTTGGATCTAAATTTGGGTCACACAGGTTGCTGGTCACCGTGACCGGCCTGAGGTTGGGCTCCTACAATCTTAGTTTGACCCACTAAGTATCAAGGAGATGTTTTGGGTTTGACTGGTCAATTTGATCCAGGTCAACGCCTTTGACCTAGGGTTTGAGCAGAAAAGAGGTCAACATGTATGTTATATTAACACATATTTTATATGCCTTTTATTTTTATTAAAATAATAATATATATTATTAATTATCTTAGTGTTCTTTTATTTATATTTTTATTGAAATTCCTCTCATGTTACTATAATTTTTTATATATGATATTTAATTTATATTAGTAAAATGATAATTAAAAATTATTAAAATTAGGAATAATAATAAGCCCAGATCATAGTTCAAGTGAACATTATTTTTTTATATGTAAAAAATAATAATTAACTGAGCTTAGCCATTGAAATTATTGCTTTAGATTTGAAATCATACAGTTTATACCATTATTTTATAATTTTAAATAATGATATTTAATTAGAACTTAAAGATTATATATAGTATATTAAAATTAGAATTCATAACAAATCTGAATTTAGAATATGTTAATTTCTAAATCAATACATTAAATTTTAAGATTGTAAAAGGGTTCCAATGCAAAAAACTAATATTCAAAATTATTAATATACTACTCCATAAAAAAAAAAGAAAACTATGAAAATAGGTTCTAAAATATAAGAAAAAGGAGAAGATGAAAATAATTTAAAAATTTTGTATCCAGTCAAACAAGCTTAAAAATCTGATTACAAATCTTATACTTAAATTCAAAAAGATAAAGTAAGAAACTAGTATAATGACAGTAAACTAATTATAGTTTTTAGTTTTTAAATACTAATATATCTATCAATTAAACTCATATTATTACTTTAAAATTCAAAAATATTAATCAAACCTATAACCCGTGAATTCAAATTAAACAATAATAAGGATGACTAATTAGTATTTTTTCCAAATTAGAATTATAATCTTGTTTATTTTTACTACTTCTAGATTGTGATGTATTATTTTATATTTTAGTAATTTTAAATCATTAGTTTTTTACTTTGGTTTGTTATTTAAATAGAATTAAATATTTTTATTTGCTTAAGGACAAGAAAGAATTTAAGTTGGGAAGAAATTGATAAGTGAAAACAATGTAATGTATTATTTCTTGTGCTATATTTTTATTGAAAATATGTTATTTTAGTTGTGTTATGCAAGAAAAAATATAAAAAAGGTGCATAGAATTCTAAGTCTCATCTTGCGTCACGGTGTTGGACAAATCAACATCGTAATGTCATTAAAAGCACCACCGGAGCAACCAACATCAAATTTGTGGAGCTAACTTCTCCACTGGACATCACCACGACATTAAAACTGTCAGCTTTATAATACCATGATCTTTGTTTTCCAGTACAGTGTCACAATTTATAACACCTTGGCACAAAAATGTCCCTTATGATGCCATAACATTGAAACGTCAACAGCGCCAAAACGTAGTAATTATAACTTCCCTAGGACACGACCTGTCAACGAAATGACGTGATTATTTACTAAGTAACTAATGCACATTAGCAAGCGCCGTAGTGAAGCCAAAATACCACTACAGCAGTGTCAGTTCATTTGTTGGGTGTAGTGGCATTGATCTTTTAAGCACCTCAGTGCTAGTTGCCTACTTTATATTTTCCTATAAATAGTCATTATTTTATACTTGTAAGAGAGTTCAATCACTTAGATAAATTTAATATAATTCAAAGTACTTCTCTAAATTTTTCTTAGGGTGACAGCTAAGAAAATTTAGAGAAGTACTTGATACCATCATTAGAGTGTTTGGCTTATATTTGTGGAAGTAATTCTGTAAGTAAAAAGGTGTGTAGAGGATATTCATTGAACAACTCTAATGATACCATCTTTTGTATTTTCTTTCTATCATGCTATCAATGAAAATGAGTTTACTTCAATTATACTTTATGTGTGGCTAAATTTTTTTAGTTTTGGATTGATAATGTAAATATCATATATAGTACTAATGAGTTATCTAATTATTTAAATGATTAAAATAACATTTTTAATGTTATCAGATTTTAATTTAATGCATATAGTGGCTATATGAGTAGTTAAAATTAAGTGTGATATGGAGCCTCGACGGAGGAAATCAGGCATAGTTTGGAATATTGAATTAATAAGCAACATACCTAGGCATAGGGTATGAAATGCATTACATTCTTAAGAAGATGATATAATTGTGAGAAGTCGGTGGACATCTTTTATCCCTGCAAACTCAATAGAGATCTAGGGATGTATATGCTCTAAATAACATCACAATTAAATATATTCATTATAAAAATTATGCTATTTATATTCATCAATCCAAAATATTTTATCTATATAGTATATTCATTATCTTTATCTAATTTTATTTAAGCGATTGAATCTCCACAACATCTATTTTTATTTAAGTATGATAATTTTACAATTAAAGTAAATAGTAGTAGTAAATTGCTAAAAAACACACTTCCTCATAATTCTGACACTATACTCTATCATTTTATTACTTGATTTGACATGTATATTTATATATATTAAGGGAGATTTTATAATTTATATATCAAAAAAATCTAAGCATTATTAGGGCTTGATAGATCCCTAAATCATTTCATAATTTTATAGGTTACTCCAGAACCCTCATCAAATTCATATAAATTCTTTTGGGACTCTAAAAATTATAAATGGTCCTAAAACTCCCTTTGACCACCACTGATAACTTTGTAGCCCTATTAGCTGATCTTTCATTATACGTTCTCGCTTCTATAGTCCTTTATCCATTAGTCTGCCTAAACTATCTTGCTCTTAAATTAATTCTTTGTCTATGTGGAAAATCTACTGCCTTGTGCCCTTGTTGTCCACATCAAAATACTATCCTGTTAGAAGATAGCACTGACCTTCATACCTCTTTCCGTAATAAATACATGCACTATAGCTTCTAGTAGAAGCTATCGATCTCAATCCCTCAAATCACTGCATCTTCTTTTTATTACCAACACTTTCTTTGTCCCTGCTTACTTCAATTCTAGTCCTCCTCCTCCTTCTATCATAATGAATCCCACATTATACCTACTACCTAGATATCAGCACTATAAAATCAACTTCTATCAATCTGGCCTGCTCCACCAACTTTAAAAACTCTTGAATCTGTAAAGGCACTAATGGATGTCTAAACTCCCTATTCAATCCTTAAAAAAACATACAACACTTATCTTCATTAGTAGAGATTAAATGAAGAGCATACCTAGCCAATTTAATAAATACAGCATCATACTACATCATTGTCTTGCATCCCTGCTCATATTTGATAAATGATTTTTGTATCTATCTTCGGGCAAAAGAAAGTATAAAGAACATTATGAATACTATAGTGAACTCATCCTAACTAATCTCAATATTTGTCTACCTTAAAATTTCTCTCTGTTGTCCAACCCACCATCTCTTAGCCTCTCCTTCAAAAAGGAACATAACCAATGGTATATTCTTATTCTTTGGATATGCCCCCTCCCCCCCCCCTCCCCCCCAAAAAAAAAGCTATTATATATAAATATACTAATATAACTGCCCTAATTTTTGTTTAGTTTGCCTTCACTTTTCCCCTCGTACCTTCTGGTCCTAACTTGCACTCGCAAGTTGCATGAGTAGAAGGTCACGTGCGCAAGCCTAGATGGAGACGAAGATTAGACTAGATATAGACCTATATCGCCCTCACTCTTCCACATGCACAAGCCAAGATGAAGAATGATCTCTTTTTTTGGGGGGAAAATTTTGGGGCAAAGCCCTTTCATATATCAAAAAGATTACAAGTAAAGTAAAAAACTGAAACTATAACTCCCAAACTCAAAAATATAGAGGTCAGGAGTTATAAAAGAAGCAAAATACACAACAAAAGAGAGAACGAAAGGTAAAAGCCTAAAGGACTCAAGTAGTTCTGGCATTCACAGTTGAGTCTGTTTCACGAGCGGGTCTGGCCAGAACAAAAACCCCTAGTTGCCAACTGACCGTCCAAGGGGCAGCTGATAAATCAGCATTCATCATTATCCTTTCAAAAATACCAACCAGGCTACCTGTAAGAGAGACAAAATTTATAGGTGCCTCAAAAACAATAAGCAATAAAACCAGCAGTAGCAGGTAAAACCAAGTCCATAAGACTTCAGCCAATCCAATGATCTTAAGTGTCACTACAGGAAATTCAGTTAATACCGGCGGTTCTTTCCGGTGGCTTTACTGGTAAACTGGTGGTTTTCAAAAACACCGGCAGTTTGTCGGCGGTTCAAAAGCCGCCGGCAAAAATGGCGTAGGAAACCATTGCTGGTGGTCATTTTCCGGCGGTTTTATTCACCGACGGCCTTCCGGCGACTTATGCCGCCGGTTATGACCGGTTTTTGTACCGACGGTGTTCCGGCCGTTCCTCCACCGGTACTTTTACCGACGGCTTACCGGCGGTCCATACACCGACGGCACGTCGGTGGTTACAACGGTTGGCGTGCGTTCGAACAACCACCGGCAAGCGTCGGTACACCGCCGCCGGTTACCCGGTAGTCAGTGCCGACGGTCAGGCCAGCGGTCTACACCGCCGGTATGTCACCGGATAACCGTCGGGCGACGTTGGTAAACTGCGGTATAATATCGACTGTTGAAAGAAGTTATCGGCGGCGTCAATCAGCCGTCAGGTATCATCATTTCCGGTGGCCAAACTGTCGGTTGGCCACTGAAAACCTGTAGCATCTGAAAAAAAAAAATTGATTAGTAGGTAGAAACATACGATGACAATCAAACTAAGTATTTTTCCCTCCATGTTTTAGTGTGAAAGCTTTACTATTCTCCATGCATTAAGGACATGCTAATTTTCCTGCTGTGCTCCAACCAGACAACATACCATAAGGTGGAAAATCACCAATGGTCCACAACAATGCAGCTTGAAGGAGAAAATTTTATTTTTTTGATATGTCATATGTGAGCACTCCTTCCCATAATAACTTGAGGTCATCAATTAATGGTTGCAAAAAAAATATCAATTTTTGCTTTCGGATTATGTGGTCTAGGTATTATAAGAGTTAAGAACATATACGGAGTAGTCATACACATCTCTAGTGGAAGGTTGTATGGTGTTAATATAACTGGCCAATAAGAGTACGGTGTAGCAGTTTGACTATAGGGGGTAAAACCATCAGCACATAATCCCAATCTTATGTTGCGGGGTTCAGCAGCAAATGAAGCATGCACTCGATCAAAATCTTTCCACGCTTGAGCATCTAATGGATAAGAAGAACACCACTTTTTGCTATGTTCTTCTTATGTCATCTCATATGACCTGCTAAACTCATTGATTCATAGAGTCGCTGAAGTCTTAGAATGATTGGTAAATAAAATAAACGGGAATATGACACATCTTTCTTTTGACGACGTTGTCTTCCTGACTTTGGCTTAAACCGATGAGCATTGCAAGTGCGACAATAAACTTCTACTGCATCATCCTTGTAGTATAATATACATCCATTGATACAACAATCAATTTTTGCAGCAGTGAGACCCAGCTTGGATACTAATTTCTTCGTTCGGTACAAGTCTGAGGGAATTAAATTATCCGCTGGATTAGTTTCCTCTATAAGACCAATAAAGTCATTGAAATAATCACGGGGAATATTATACTCAGTTTTAATACTTAACATCCTCACTGCAATGGATAATTCTGAATGTGTACTGCAACCATCCCAAATTGGTTTTTGAGCTGAATGTAATAACTCGAAGAATTTTTGTATTTCTGCATTTGGTGGCTCTTCCATACTAGACCTTAAATTATGACCTGCTACATCAAAAAAGAAGTTCTTCATAGGGTCTATTCATTTGATCTTCATTAAATGTTTCATAAGCTGTAGATGAACCGACATGAGCATCTCTGTGTGGCTCATACTCGCCATGTGATGTCTAAATCCAATAGTTTGGAAGAAATCTCCTACGATATAAATCAAGCTTCACATCATCGGGCTTAAGGAATGCTAGTTTTTTTATGCTTCAAACATGGACATCTAAATATTTTATCAAACTGGAAGGAAGGCAGTTGAGATGCAACTTGAATGAAAGTTTCAACTCCCTGTATAAATTCAGCTGTCAATCCTTTTCGACCCGACAACAATCTGTTATACATCCAACTTCTCTCTTCTTGGATAGTCATTTGCACGTTCAAGCAAACTTCCCCCTACATAGTTATGAAAACATTTATTATAACACATGTGTAAACATGCTATACTTTAAAACAAGTATATTAAAGTCAAATCTTACCTCAACTTTTCTTACCGGGTCATCAGAAGCATCCGTTTAATGTCAATAAACCATGTAAAACGACTCTCTCTAATCTTATCTTCCATTGGATATGCTC